TTCAAGATTTTCTCATATTGCTATTTTTCATCAAATTGATTCGAAATTTCAGTATGATAAGCTCCCTTTTTTCCTCTTTCCCCTCAGAAAGTTTCACATTTTTCCCGTCAATAATTTGTCGAAAAATCATCGAAAAGTGGAGAGGTGTATTTTTTTTCATTTGGGTTTTTTTCAAGTTCCTTTTCAAGATTTTCTCATATTGCTATTTTTCATCGAATTGATTCGAAATTTCAGTATGATAAGCTCCCTTTTTTTCCTCTTTCCCCCTCAGAAAGTTTCACATTTTTTCCCGTCAATAATTTGTCGAAAAATCATCGAAAAGTGGAGAGGTGTATTTTTATTAATTTGGGTTTTTTCAAGTTCCTTTTCAAGATTTTCTCATATTGCTATTTTTCATCGAATTGATTCGAAATTTTAGTATGATAAGCTCCCTTTTTTCCTCTTTCCCCTCAGAAAGTTTCACATTTTTCCCGTCAATAATTTGTCGAAAAATCATCGAAAAGTGGAGAGGTGTATTTTTATTAAGTTGGGTTTTTTCAAGTTCCTTTTCAAGATTTTCTCATATTGCTATTTTTCATCGAATTGATTCGAAATTTCAGTATGATAAGCTCCCTTTTTTTCTCTTTCCACTTAGAAAGTTTCATATTTTTCCCGTCAACAATTTGTCGAAAAATCATTAAAAAGTGGAAAGGTGTATTTTTCAAATTTGGGTTTTTCCAAGTTCCTTTTCAAGATTTTCTCATGTTGCTATTTTTCATCGGATTGATTCGAAATTTCAGTATGATAAGCTCCCTTTTTTTCTCTTTCCCACTTAGAAAGTTTCATATTTTTCCCGTCAACAATTTGTCGAAAAATCATTAAAAAGTGGAGAGGTGTATTTTTTTCATTTGGGTTTTTTTCAAGTTCCTTTTCAAGATTTTCTCATATTGCTATTTTTCATCGAATTGATTCGAAATTTCAGTATGATAAGCTCCCTTTTTTTCCTCTTTCCACTCAGAAAAGTTTCACATTTTTCCCCGTCAATAATTTGTCGAAAAATCATCGAAAAGTGGAGAGGTGTATTTTTATTAATTTGGGTTTTTTCAAGTTCCTTTTCAAGATTTTCTCATATTGCTATTTTTCATCAAATTGATTCGAAATTTCAGTATGATAAGCTCCCTTTTTTCCTCTTTCCCCCTCAGAAAGTTTCACATTTTTCCCGTCAATAATTTGTCGAAAAATCATCGAAAAGTGGAGAGGTGTATTTTTATTAATTTGGGTTTTTTCAAGTTCCTTTTCAAGATTTTCTCATATTGCTATTTTTCATCGAATTGATTCGAAATTTCAGTATGATAAGCTCCCTTTTTTCCTCTTTCCACTTAAAAAGTTTTACGTTTTTCCCATCAACAATTTGTCGAAAAATCATCAGAGTGTCAAAGGCCGTATTTTTCCTAATTTGGGAGTTTTCAAGATTTTCTGATGTTGCCATTTTTCATCAAATTGTTTTGAAATTTCAATATGATGAGCTCCCCTTTCTTCCTCTTTCTATTTAAAAAGTTTCACAATAATTGTTCCATCAACAATATTTGACGAGAAATTATGAAAATATGAAAGGGTGCATTTTTCTTAATTTGCATTTTTTTAACTTGCTTTTTAAGATTTTCTCATAATGCCTTTTTTTATCGAATTAATTTGAAACTTCAGTATGATAGTCTCCTTTTCTTCCTCTTTCCACTGAAAAAGTTTCACAATTACATTGAAAATGTCAATCAAAGTTGATTACGAATGACGCCAAAATCAACTCTAGTATCAATATAGATATCGATATATGAATTTGAAATATCGATACAAGTGAAGACGTATCGATGTTTTCAAAATATCGTAGCGAAAATATCGATAAGCGAAACCCTAGTATACCAATTTTTTTTCAATTTTTCTTTCCTTTCTTACCCCGTATCGATGTATACATATATCGATAAGCCTGCCTTTAAACAAACTGAAAGTGAAATTCTTTTTCTAGAATGTTAATTCTAAAGACTTTGCTGATTCGAAACATAGACTAAAATCTCTGAAAATTCTGAAGACCCTTCCCTTGATATTTGAAGTGGTTAAGGACTTCAAAGTTTAAAGCGGTTCTGAAGATTTCAAAGCTAAAATACCTATTCAAATAGTGATGAAGATGTTCTTTGAATGTTTATATATTCGAACTAATCTTATTAGATTTCGAGCTTTATAGTTCAAGACTTTAGATATACTTAAATATTCTGATTCAAAGCCTTTGAAAACACTAAGAAAGATTACGAACAAAGACTTCAACGAGGCTGAAAACTCCTGAGACTCAGCCCATTTGAAGCTCAAAATCCTCTAAATAGGTATTCTTAGAGATGTCAAGATATCTCGAGATTGCTAAGCAATTGACAAGAAAATTTCAAAAAAGCCTTAAAAGAAAATTTCATGAAACATCACTAGAACTGATTGTAAAAGTTTTGCAGCCTCATGTATTTTTAAGTAACCGATTTCAATATAAAAACATTTGGTAGCTGGGTTTATAGGGTTTTTGTGTACGCCTCAATAACGTTTATAACCAAAAAAATCATAAAAAAAACTCCAGGTTGTTTTTTGATTCAACCAACTATAGTAGCCATAAGAGCTTTCAGTTTTCTGAGAATTTTTTTCCAAAATACCGGGAAGGTCAAAAATAATGTTCAGTCCTTGTTGGAATACACTCCGTACATTTTGGTTCATATTTCAATTTCGGAACTATTAATTTTTCTAGGTAAACAACAAAACTTCAAAAACGGCATCTACGGTCTAGTAGCAATCGACGTCTTCAAATTTCTACGCACCCCAAAATACGCCCAGAAAAACTTCATGGTATCGGCAAGCTTTTTTGAAATCTACGGCAAATTGGTCTTCGATCTCCTAGCCAAAAAACAACGCCTACGAGTGCTGGAAGATGGCAAACAACAAGTCCAAGTAGTAGGCCTAACAGAAAAGGTCGTTTGCAAAGTGGACGACGTCATCGATCTCATTCAAAGAGGCAGTTTAGAGCGAACATCCGGACAAACATCGGCCAATTCGAATTCCTCCAGGTCTCATGCAGTTTTTCAAATAATTCTGCGCAAAGTTGGTTCTAAACACGTCGAAGGAAAATTCTCCTTGATTGATTTGGCTGGAAATGAACGCGGAGCGGACAACAACAAATCAAATCGACAAACTAGAATCGAAGGAGCGGATATAAATAAAAGCTTGTTGGCTTTGAAAGAATGCATTCGAGCTTTAGGACGAAGAGGAGCTCACTTACCTTTCAGAGGAAGCAAATTGACCCAAGTGCTTCGTGACTCATTTATAGGTGAAAAATCTAGAACCTGCATGATAGCTCTAATCAGTCCTGGAAATTATTCAGTTGATCACTCACTTAACACCCTCAGATACGCTGACAGAGTCAAAGAACTAATAGCCAATGATAATCCTGAAGAATTCTCAGACGACGAAGTAATGAACGAAGACATAGATGAAAGCAATGAAATTGACGAAGACATGATGAGAGATGAAGAAAAAAGAATGCATATTGCTTCAATGGAATGGGAAATTCTAGAAAGCAATAGGGACGTCATAGAAAGTTGCGTGCATTTTCATAATATGGCTTGCGAATTGTATAGGGCCAGCCAGAAAAATGGTTTCGATAAACTCGATTACGCTACCAATTGGAGAAATTTACTTGCGGACATGATCGACATTCAAAAAGCGGCTTTGCTGAAAGCCAACGAATTTTGCAATACCCTTGAAGGATCATTGTAATGGATCATTTTTTTTATATATGTTCATTTTTTTTTTTTTTATTTGGTACATTTATATCTATGCTCGTATTTTTCAATAAAAACGATTGTACTTATTTTGTGTTTGCTTATAATTTTTATTATTTTCCAGTCTGTTTCTCAATTTTTGTCTATTCTCGGCTCTTTGAATTTTTGTTTAATTTATTAATTATTATTATAATTATTTTTTTTAATTAAAATAAAAACTTTGATTAAGCTCTTAATGGAAACATCTAACAGAAAAATTATAAGAAACTTCGCTGATAAAAATTCTTCAATTGGGCAGAAAACTTTTAGGTTCAATTTAATATTTAATATAAATCTCTCGCTGTATGCCATGAAACTTCATGAAGTTTTCAAATATTGAATTATGCAAAATCTTTACTAGCACATTTAAATTTTGTTTGTCTCTAGCAAAAAAAACAATGATATTTTGTATAGCTTATTTAGGGCCCTATTTTGAAATCCGTCTCACGAAGTTTTGTGTACCATTTTAGATAGCTGATTTACATTACTAAAACCCTTGAAAATGCGTCTTAATAATATAAAAAAACGACTCAATTACATTATTGTTTGCTCAATAATTATTTTAAACATGTCTTATCGATTTCGCATTTATGACTCCTTGGAACAAATTTTCAATTATCGTTTCAGTCTGTTGTATACTTTTCCAGGCAATAGGGCCTAAAAAAAAATGAATGTTCCCCGGATGGAAATTAAAGACTTGGCCGACTTGTACGGAGAAGAATTGAAAATTAAATCGTTGGCCAAAATAAGAGGGAGTCCGAGAGCTCGGGAAATAGCCAAAAGGTTTCTTTTGGATGGAAAAGATGGCAGGATTATAGACGAGCATGATCAGTTTTATAGGGATCATAAACTTTTGTTGTTGCTTTTTAGGGTAAATAATAATTTGATGTAGATTTAAGTAATTCGTATTTTAATTTAAAGATCATGGGTGTAATGCCAGTAGAACGTGGCAGAATTGGAACAATTACATTTAGCTGGACTTCAAAACCTATGCTTTATGCTTACGTATTTTACGTTGTAACTACTATTTTGGTAATTATGGGTAAGCAAATATTGGGTTTCTATATGCAATCCTAATTCAATTATTTTCTTTAGTTGGATACGAAAGAATCGATATTTTACTAAACAGAAGCAAAAAGTTCGACGAGTACATCTACGCTATCATTTTCATTCTGTATTTGGTTCCGCATTTTTTGATTCCATTCATGGGTTGGTCAGTGGCGTACGAAGTGTGCGATTACAAAAACGGCTGGGGAAAGTTTCAATTGCATTATTATAAAGTCACAGGTATATGGTTTTTAGATTATATATTTTTTTATTAAATCCTGTGGGTGAAAAAACGGAAAAACCAAATAAAAATCTGAATTGATAGGTTTGTAGAATATAATTGGCTTTAATTGGAGCGTAATTACATTGAAATCGGATGAAAATTAACGGAGCTGTGGGGCAAAAACTGTCTCATAGACATTATTGGTAAATTTTCAATGTTCGATAATTTCAACGTTGAAGTTTCTCAAATAAACAAACCTGTTAAAACTAAATTCAATATTAATTAATAGATTTGTAGGGCATTAAATTGGCTTTAATCCAAGTTTAATTACGTTGAAATCGGTTAATAATTAATAGTAGAGTGCCGAACGCAGTTAAAGCCTTCTTAAAATGAGTTTTGTGGGCGCATCGAGGTTACAAACTGAAACTTGCACAGAATGAAGGTTTTACTATAGGTTTGTTCCAACCCGTCAAAAAATCGTCCCAGAACAGTTTCGGAACCACTCTGTGTACGAATTTTGGTTTTTGCGCAAATATTTTAGGTATTGCGCAGAATCCTGACGATAACATTACGGTTTCTTGCTAAGTTGGAACAAAGCTTATACTAATTCAAAATCCCAAGGTAATACAAAATCCAGAACAGGCAAAAGGGCAGTATATTCAAAAATTGAGAATATTGCATGAACGTAAAGAATAGTAATTTATGATTGTTCTCATATAAAATTTATCTATATATTTTTGTACAAATTATATTTTTTATTATGGCTTGAAATAAGCCATTTAACCCCTTACGGTAAAATAAATCTAGAAATTTAAATATCTCCGTTCAAACCTGAGAAAAATCTGATTCCGCTCTCTCCCGCTGCACCAGTACTATTCCATCTCACTTTTCTCCGTAGCTCCCTTTCTCTTTCGCGAATTATACAATACAATAAACCCTTTTACGTATTTGAATTCTGATTTCAAAATATTCAAACCTCTATTGCTCAGTAACCGTTAAGCAAATTGCATTAAAACTTTCAGCTCTTATTAAGCTCTAAGTGGCTTGTGATTTACAATATTCCCAGATTTATAGTTTTTGAGCAAATTGAGTTTGAAGTTTTTGTCAAAATTTGGACTAAAAGTCAATTTTGAGGCTCAATTACTCAAAAACTGTCCGAGCTATCGAGCTCAATTTTACACAGATTTATAGAGAATTCAAGGCTCTTTCCAACGATGTATAATTTATTTCAATTTGCTCAAAATTTACCAAAGATATGGGCAATTGTTCATGACCATGTCAGGATTTTGAAAATTTTCCAGAGCCAAAAATAAGATTTTCTATTTATTTTTGTGTCTGCTTAAAATGGCCATTTGGAATTGATATCAGAGTTATTTTCCACTAATTTTAACCCGCTCTATTGATTCAAAAAGTCAAAATTGAGCAAAAATAAAAAAATCGAATTTTTCATAATGAATTCAGATTTCAAAATATTCAAACCTCAATTACTCGGTAACCGTTGAGCAGATTGCATTAAAATTTCCTGAATTTGTAGCTTTTATCAAGTTCTAAATGGCCTGTAATTTACAATATTTCCAGATTTCTAGTTTTTGAGCAAATTGAGTTTGAAGTTTTTGACAAAATTTGGACTAAAAGTCAACTTTGAGGCTCAATTACTCAAAAACTATCCGAGCTATCGAGCTCAATTTTACACAGATTTATAGAGAATTCAAGGCTCTTTCCAACGATGTATAATTTATTTCAATTTGCTCAAAATTTACCAAAGATATGGGCAATTGTTCATGACCATGTCAGGATTTTGAAAATTTTCCAGAGCCAAAAATAAGATTTTCTATTTATTTTTGTGTCTGCTTAAAATGGCCATTTGGAATTGATATCAGAGTTATTTTCCACTAATTTTAACCCGCTCTAATGATTCAAAAAGTCAAAATTGAGCAAAAATAAGAAAATCGAATTTTTCATAATGAATTCAGATTTCAAAATATTCAAACCTCAACTGCTCGGTAACCGTTGAGCAAATTGCATTAAAATTTCCTGAATTTGTAGCTTTTATCAAGTTCTAAATGGCCTGTAATTTACAATATTTCCAGATTTCTAGTTTTTGAGCAAATTGAGTTTGAAGTTTTTGACAAAATTTGGACTAAAAGTCAACTTTGAGGCTCAATTGCTCAAAAACTATCCGATATGTCGAGCTCAATTTTGCACAGATTTATAGAGAATTCAAGGCTCTTTCCAATGATGTATAATTTATTTCAATTTGCTCAAAATTTACCAAAGATATGGGCAATTGTTCATGACCATGTCAGGATTTTGAAAATTTTCCAGAGCCAAAAATAAGATTTTCTATTTATTTTTGTGTCTGCTTAAAATGGCCATTTGGAATTGATATCAGAGTTATTTTCCACTAATTTTAACCCGCTCTATTGATTCAAAAAGTCAAAATTGAGCAAAAATAAAAAAATCGAATTTTTCATAATGAATTCAGATTTCAAAATATTCAAACCTCAATTACTCGGTAACCGTTGAGCAGATTGCAATTAAAATTTCCTGAATTTGTAGCTTTTATCAAGTTCTAAATGGCCTGTAATTTACAATATTTCCAGATTTCTAGTTTTTGAGCAAATTGAGTTTGAAGTTTTTGACAAAATTTGGACTAAAAGTCAACTTTGAGGCTCAATTACTCAAAAACTATCCGAGCTATCGAGCTCAATTTTACACAGATTTATAGAGAATTCAAGGCTCTTTCCAACGATGTATAATTTATTTCAATTTGCTCAAAATTTACCAAAGATATGGGCAATTGTTCATGACCATCGTCAGGATTTTGAAAATTTTCCAGAGCCAAAAAATAAGATTTTCTATTTATTTTTGTGTCTGCTTAAAATGGCCATTTGGAATTGATATCAGAGTTATTTTCCACTAATTTTAAACCCCGCTCTAATGATTCAAAAAGTCAAAATTGAGCAAAAATAAGAAAATCGAATTTTTCATAATGAATTCAGATTTCAAAATATTCAAACCTCAACTGCTCGGTAACCGTTGAGCAAATTGCATTAAAATTTCCTGAATTTGTAGCTTTTATCAAGTTCTAAATGGCCTGTGATTTACAATATTTCCAGATTTTTAGTTTTTGAGCAAATTGAGTTTGAAGTTTTTGACAAAATTTGGACTAAAAGTCAACTTTGAGGCTCAATTGCTCAAAAACTATCCGATATGTCGAGCTCAATTTTGCACAGATTTATAGAGAATTCAAGGCTCTTTCCAATGATGTATAATTTATTTCAATTTGCTCAAAATTTACCAAAGATATGGGCAATTGTTCATGACCATGTCAGGATTTTGAAAATTTTCCAGAGCCAAAAATAAAAATTTCCTTTTTATTTTTGTGTCTGCCTCAAAAATGGCCATTTGGAATTGATATCAGGGTTGTTTTCCCACTAATTTTGACCCGCTCTATTGATTCATGAAGTCAAAATTGAGCAAAACTAAAAATTAAAAAAAATCGAATTTTTCATAAGGGTACCCCCCCACCCTTTGAATTCTGATTTCAAGATACTCAAACCTCAATTGCTCGGTAACCGTTGAGCAAATTGCATTAAAATTTCCAGAATTTGTAGATTTTATCAAGTTCTAAATGGCCTGTAATTTACAATATTTCCAGATTTCTAGTTTTTGAGCAAATTGAGTTTGAAGTTTTTGATAAAATTTGGACTAAAAGTCAACTTTGAGGCTCAATTGCTCGAAAACTATCCGAGGTATCGAGCTTAATTTTGCACAGATTTATAGAGAATTTAAGGCCCTTTCCAATGATGTATGATCTATTTCAATTTGCTCAAAATTTACCAAAGATATGGGCAATTGTTCATGACCATGTCAGAATTTTGAAAATTTTCCAGAGCCAAAAATATGATTTTCTCTTTATTTTTGTGTCTGCTCAAAATGGCCATTTGGAATTGATATCAGGGTTGTTTTCCACTAATTTTGACCCGCTCTATTGATTCATGAAGTCAAAATTGAGCAAAACTAAAAATTAAAAAAATCGAATTTTTCATAAGGGTACCCCCCCCCCCTTTGAATTCTGATTTCAAGATACTCAAACCTCAACTGCTCGGTAACCGTTGAGCAAATTGCATTAAAATTTCTTGAATTTGTAGCTTTTATCAAGTTCTAAATGGCCTGTGATTTACAATATTTCCAGATTTCTAGTTTTTGAGCAAATTGAGTTTGAAGTTTTTGACAAAATTTGGACTAAAAGTCAACTTTGAGGCTCAATTGCTCAAAAACTATCCGAGGTATCGAGCTCAATTTTTGCACAGATTTATAGAGGATTCAAGGCTCTTTCCAATTTATTCCAATTTGCTCAAAATTCACGAAAGATATGGGCAATTGTTCATGACCAATGTCAGGATTTTGAAAATTTTCCAGATTCAAAAATAGGATTTTCTTTTTATTTTTGTGCCTGCTTAAAATAGCCATATGGAATTGATATCAGGGTTGTTTTCCACTAATTTTGACCCGCTCTATCGACTCATCAATTTAAAATTGAGCAAAACTAAAAAATAAAAAAATTGAATTTTTCATAAGGGTACCCCATTTGAATTCTGATTTCAAAACATTCAAACCTCAATTGCTCGGTAACCGTTGAGCAAATTGCATTAAAATTTCCTGAATTTGTAGCTTTTATCAAGTTCTAAATGGCCTGTGATTTACAATATTTCCAGATTTCTAGTTTTTGAGCAAATTGAGTTTGAAGTTTTTGACAGAATTTTGGACTAAAAGTCAACTTTGAGGCTCAATTGCTCAAAAACTATCCGATATGTCGAGCTCAATTTTGCACAGATTTATAGAGAATTCAGGCTCTTTCCAATGATGTATAATTTATTTCAATTTGCTCAAAATTTACCAAAGATATGGACAATTGTTCATGACCATGTCAGGATTTTGAAAATTTTCCAGAGCCAAAAATAGGATTTTCTATTTATTTTTGTGTCTGCTTAAAATGGCCATTTGGAATAGATATCAGAGTTGTTTTCCACTAATTTTGACCCGCTCTATTGATTCATAAAGTCAAAATTGAGCAAAACTAAAAATTAAAAAAATCGAATTTTTCATAAGGGTACCCCCTTTGAATTCTGATTTCAAAATATTCAAACCTCAATTACTCCGTAACCGTTGAGCATATTGCATTAAAATTCCTAGAATTTGTAGCTTTTATCAAGTTCTAAATGGCCTGTGATTTACAATATTTCCAGATTTCTAGTTTTTGAGCAAATTGAGTTTGAAGTTTTTGACAAAATTTGGACTAAAAGTCAACTTTGAGGCTCAATTACTCAAAAACTATCCGTGCTATCGAGCTCAATTTTACACAGATTTATAGAGCATTCAAGGCTCTTTCCAACGATGTATAATTTATTTCAATTTGCTCAAAATTTACCAAAGATATGGGCAATTGTTCATGACCATGTCAGGATTTTGAAAATTTTCCAGAGCCAAAAATAAGATTTTCTATTTATTTTTGTGTCTGCTTAAAATGGCCATTTGGAATTGATATCAGAGTTATTTTCCACTAATTTTAACCCGCTCTATTGATTCAAAAAGTCAAAATTGAGCAAAAATAAAAAAATCGAATTTTTCATAATGAATTCAGATTTCAAAATATTCAAACCTCAACTGCTCGGTAACCGTTGAGCAAATTGCATTAAAATTTCCTGAATTTGTAGCTTTTATCAAGTTCTAAATGGCCTGTGATTTACAATATTTCCAGATTTCTAGTTTTTGAGCAAATTGAGTTTGAAGTTTTTGATAAAATTTGGACTAAAAGTCAACTTTGAGGCTCAATTGCTCAAAAACTATCCGAGGTATCGAGCTCAATTTTGCACAGATTTATAGAGAATTTAAGGCCCTTTCCAATGATGTATGATCTATTTCAATTTGCTCAAAATTTACCAAAGATATGAGCAATTGTTCATGACCATGTCAGGATTTTGAAAATTTTCCAGATCCAAAAATAGGATTTTCTTTTTATTTTTGTATTTGCTTAAAATGACCATTTGAAATTGATGTCAGGGTTGTTTTATTGATGATCCAACTGCAGAAATTATTTTCAAATTAGTCTTGTTCTTGAAAACTGAAAAACGTTAAATATACAAAACGCAAGCGACAAACATCAACACCAAAATGTACGTGATTGAAGGTTTCACGTGCCACTCAAATAAATAGCTCATAGCGAAATTCCGTCTGGAAAAATAGAAGGAAATACCGTATCGAATTTAACAAAACTGCGCTGTGATGATGACTAATTACCCCCATTAATAATGCCTAAAGCAAATGAGGTAGTTACTGGAACAGGTATTTAGTTCACGCCACGGGATACTCATTTATTTATACACTTTAATGTAATATGGCCCAACAACGTGATACATACAGGAAAAAAATGATTATAAGATAAATAATTTTTTAATATCTGGCAACGTCCAAACATTTCTTAATAAAGCATTCCTTTTTTTTTAGGTCGTGACTTAGAATTTCCTCACCTTAGCAGCCTAATCGTGATAATCAGCTGCGGTTGCTTATTTTTTGCAGCTGGTTTCTTATTAACCCTCAGTATACTACTCGAAGGATTCAGTTTATACCACACAAGTGCTTATCTCCATATCATAACCATGATCAATATGAATTGTGCTTTATGGTATATCAATTGTAGAGCAGTTGGTAATGCCAGTACAGGAGTTGCGGAAAGTTTTAAAAGGGTATACATTGCTTTTTTCCATTACTTTCGATCAATTTAAAAAGTTTCAGGATATCGAACAATATTGTGCAGCTTACATAATCAAACATTATCGCATATTATGGTTAGAATTGAGTGAAGTACTCCAAAAATTGGGCAATGCTTACGCCAGAACATATTCAGCTTATTCTTTACTGATGATGGCTAATATAACCATTTCAGTAAAAATTACCTATATCCACTAAAATAACTAATTCATTTAAATCCAAATTTTCAGGTCTATGGATTTACTTCTGAAATTGTAGACCATGGAATTAGGTATTTTACTTTCAAAGAAGTTGGCCTTTTAGTTGAAGCAATTTACTGTGGAACATTATTTTTTGTATTTTGTGATTGTTCTCATCACGCTTCGTCGAATATTGCTGAAAGGGTGCAATGGTCTTTGATGGAAATTAATTTAAATGAAGTCGATCAATATACTGTCAAAGAAGTAATTTTTAATTTTCATCACTATATGTGCATATTATAATTTGACTATATTTTAGATTCAGCTATTTTTAAAAGCAATTCACATGAATCCACCTAAAGTGTCTTTGAGAGGATACACTGTTGTTAATAGAGAACTTATCACTTCGGTAAGTGAAAATTTTACTTTAGAATTTACAATTTAAGATGGAATTATTGTTTCAGAGCATCGCTACCATTGCAATTTACCTCATTGTGCTGTTGCAATTCAAAATAAGTCTTATTAATCTTAAGACCTAATCATTTTTCTGTTTGGGATACCAATAAAAGCCTTTAGTTCAATAGAATTGTCTATTTTTACCAAAATATGAATTGTCTTGTATTATAATAATTAAATGAATACTTTTTATATGACTGTTCTAATCATAGGTTCTATTTTATTTTAAAATTGACAATATCCTTGACAATAAATACAATTGGCTGGCCATTACTTTTTTATTATTAAAGGTAAGATCACCTTACATATTTCTTTCTTAAACGCAACAAAAATTAAAAATTACTAATAACATACAAAAAAAATCAAATACATATAACATTAAATAATCTTTGAATTTAGTGGGAAAACGTCTCTCTCGTCTGTCTCTATTTTTGTCTCTTGTATATGTTGGGGTTTTCGTTGATTTCGAAGGACCAGTCAAATAACTAGGTTTGACAAAAACCCTTTTATTCTAATAAAAATGTGACTGTGAACGTGTGAAAATAATTTTTTTTACTACTAACCTGAGAAATAGACATTATTCAATCTATTTTTCTCGAAAAAAATTGAATTTCTCTCCCTAGGTTAATAATGAAAATAATGGAAAAAAAACCTAGGTCAATAATGAGAATGACGTCATAACGCAAGGATATTGTCATAACGTTACAGGTTTCTATTGGTTTAATTTCAATTTCAAACTGTCAATTTAATCAAAAAAACAGATTCCTGTATGTATCATAGGAAATGACCATAGATGTTGATAGAGGGCAGCACTTCCAACTAGGAAAAATAATTTGAGCACAGATTTCAAACTTATTTTTTATTTTCTACTATAGCAGTAGTAAAAAAAATTCTATATATTCCACGGTAGAGAAAGTCGTTATATACCTTACGCAAAATATAAAAGCGTTTGGTATATAATGACCAACTTTTCTACCTAGTTATATAATGTACTATTATCTACGACCTGCACAATAAGTGACTATTATGTCACAAAATTTTTGCTCATTTGCGTTATGTAATGACTCCTATTACCGCACTAGTGCACGCGTTCATTATCGCACTAGTGCGATAAGAGGTCATCATTTTTTTATTACTACACAATTGAGTACACAATAGTTATTTATACGTTTTCTGCTTTAGTTAGTGACGTCAGTAGATATTCCGATTGTTTTTTTTTTTTTTTTTTGAGAAAGATTGGATTTAGGTCAAAAATAAACGGTGTTCAAGAAGATAGGCAAATACACATTTTCTTCTTCATCGCCGTTTTTTTACCTAAATCCAACATTTTCCGGAAAATCCAACCGGCGGGCATAAGCGCAACTAGACTCCAAATTTGAGGGGTTCTGCAGCACCATTTTTTCATTTTATTTTTTTTTTTGATTTTTTTTTTTTTTTTGAAGTTTGATGGAATGAAAATGAGACGCGTAAAAGGTTAGTTTCACGAGGGTTTGTACTTACGTCATCATTTGCCTTTTTTTAAAAAAAATAGGTTTTTTTATGTCTGAAATTTCGAACAAACATATAGTTCGTTGCACGGCACGCAGGTTTTTACTTACGTCATCGATGACGTCATAACTTAGAGAAAAAGTTATGTCATAGATTAATTCATGGAGCACCTTCGGAATTATTGTTTTGTAATACATTTTTAACTTAGAAGAGAATTTATTCAGTTATCCGAAAATATATAAATAAAATTTCTCCTAGAGTGATTCACTGGAAAATTTTTGAAATTTTCCTTCTGCCAGTTTTCCAGGAAAAATTTTAAATTAAAAGAATAAATTTTGCTTAAAAGTTAGTTTTCCAGAATTTCTCCTGGAGTGATTATTTACTGGAAAATTTTGAAATTTTTATATAATGAACTTCTCACTTTCTTCTTTCTCCTACAAAATTTTCCCTCTGCTAGTTTTCCAGAAAAAAATTAAAATGTAAGAGGATAAATTTTCCTTAATTTTGCTTAAATAAGTCACTTTTCCACAGTTTTTCCTGAGTGATTTTTTAATGAAAAATTTTGAAATTTTGCTTTAATGAGATCCTCACTTTCCTCTTTTTTCTGGAAAATTTTCACAATTATCCTTTTGCCAGTTTTCTAGAAAAAAAAAAAAAAAATGTAAGAAATAGTATATTGTGTATTTAGGTGGAAAAGTGACACATTCTCGGCCGACGGTGTAAGTTGACGGGCGAGGCGTAGCCGAGCCGGCAAACACCAAAGGCCGAGAATGTGCTTTTCCACCGAAATACACATACTATTTTTTCTGCGATCGGTTGAATACCTGCTAAATGTTTGTCTTTTGGTTCCAAATATTCAGCAATACGAGAATCACTTTCCCGGCCTAGGCCGGAAAAGTGTTTCCCGTATTGTTATTCATTGATTCCTTAGCAACTATTGAAATATAATTAAAAAACCAGAATATTGAGTTTTGCGACCTGTCAACCAGTCAAAAATGCTGACATTTCATGTCATTCGCAGAAAAATGAATTTTGCTTAAAAAAGTCAATTTTCCTAAATTTTTCCTGGAATGATTTTCCATTAGAAAATTTTGAAATTTTCCTATAATAAGCTCCTCACTTTCGTCTTTTTCCTAGAAAAATTTTACAATTTTTGCTTTGCCAGTTTTTCAGAAAAAAATTGAAATGTGAAACGATGAATTTTTCTTAATTTTACTTGAAAAAGTCAATTTTTCAGAATTTTTCCTGGAGTGATTTTTTACTAGAAAATTTTGAAATTTTCTTTCTGCCAGTTTTCCAGAAAAAAATTAAAATTAAAAGAATAAATTTTACTTAAAAGTCAGTTTTCCAGAATTTCTCCTGGAGTGATTTTTCACTGGAAAGTTTTGAAATTTTTATATAATGAGCTCCTCACTTTCTTCTTTTTCCTGGAAAATTTTCGAAATTTTCTCTTTGCCAGTTTTTTAGAAAAAAATTAAAATGTAAAAGTATAAATTTTCCTTAATTTTACTTGAAAAAGTCAATTTTCCAGAATTTTTTTACTGGAAAATTTTGAAATTTTCCTAAAATGAGTTTCTCAGTTTCCTTTTTTTTTGGAAAAATTTCCCAAATTATGCTTTGCTAATTTTCCAGAAAAAAATTAAAATGTGAAATTATGAATTTTGCTTAAAAAAGTCAATTTTCTAGAACTTTTCTTAGAGTAATTTTTCACTATAATGAGCTCCGCATTTTCTTCTTTCTCCCTGGAAAAATTTCACAAGTTTTGCTTTATTAGTTTTCCAGAAATAAATTAAAATGTGAGAAGATAAATTTTCCCTAATTTTGCTAAAATAAATCAATTTTCCAGAATTTTTCCTGAAGTGATTTTTCACTGGAAAACTTTGAAATTTTCCTTTAATGAGATCCTCACGTTCCTCTTTCTTCTGGAAAATTTTCAATAGTAATATAACTAGTGCAATGGACATTATTGATAATTTTTGGGAAATTTGCCCGAATGCATTTTTCAGTTAAAAACGCATGAGTGCAAATTTGTCGAAAATTATAAATATTATATTTCCATAGCACGAGTTGTATTCAATGAGAGTATTTCATAAATCAAAAATTTAAATTTTTTGTCAAGAAATGTCAAAACACCAGTTTTCGCACCAGTTAGTATGCAATTATCTGATAATTTGCACTAGTGCAAATTATCGCGTAATTACAATCTGATTGGTTCAAATCAACAATCAAAACATGTCAGTTTATTGTTGGAATACCAGTTTTGACAGATGTATGAAATTCTCACAATTATCCTTTTGCTAAATTTCTAGAAAAAAAAAATGTAAGAAAATGAATTTTGCTTAAAAAAGTCAAATTTTCTTTAGTTTTTGCATTTTCCAAAAACTCATAATTTTCGTAATTTTCCCATAACTTCAAAAATCATAATTTTTTCGTAATTCCCGTAATTTTTTGTACCTATTTTTAATTCTCCTAATTTTTTAAAAAACTTCGTTATTTTTAAATTCCCCCCAAGTTTTGTAATTTTCATAATTTCGAAAATTCGTGATTTTCGTAATTGCTATAATTTTTATAATTTTTGTAATTCTTTTTATTTTTATAATTTTTCGTAATTCCTGCAATTATCCGTAACTTTTCAAAAATTGCGAAAAAGTGAGTGTCAAAATCGCAGGAAAGTGACGTTGGAATTACGAAAAATAGAAATAAAAATTACGGAAAAATGAGGTTGGAAATGTTGGAATTTCGAAAAATTTGAGTAAAAATGGCGGAAAAGCACGGTTATAATCGAGAAAAAATAAGGTTATAAATACGAAAAACAAAAGTAAAGATTTTAGAAAAATTAGGTTGAAATTACGGAAATGTGAGGCGAAAATCGCGGAAAAGTGAGGTTATACTTATTGAAAAATCAGGCAAGAATAACAGAAAAGTGAGGCAAAATTCGCGGAAAAATTTGTTGAAATTGCGAGAAAGTGAGTTTAGACTTTGAAATTGCGGAAAAGTGAAGGTGAAATTGCGAAAAAAAATTGTTGAAAGCCGTTATTTCTCAAATAAATTTCGTTATTTTTATAATTTTTCCTTAATTTTCGTAATTCCCCTAATTTTTCGTAACTTTTCAAAATTCATCGTAATTTTTCTGTAATTCCCGTATTTTTGAATAATTCGTGTTGTTTCTCAGATTTTCGTAATTTTTTAATTTCTTCAATTTCTCAAAATATTCAGGTACTTATTTTATAATTCCCTCTAAGTTTTTGTTACTTTCAAAAATTCGTAATTCCCGTAGTTTTCAATTTTTTTTTTATGAATTTTCATTATTTCCGTAACTTCTCAGATAATTCTCCCTATTTCTATAATTCTTCCTTAGTCATTGCAATTCTTGGAAAACTCGTAATTTTCGTAATTCCCGTAACTTTTTCATAAATCCCGTAACTTTCCAAAAATTATCGTAATTTTTTCGCAATTCTCGTGATTTTTCTCTTTCAATTTTTATATTTCCTGTAGTTCCTCAAAATTTCGTAATTCTGTAATTCTCTTTCTCAAAAAACTCCGTTATCTTTATAATTCCCCCCCAGTTTGTTGTGATTCTCAAAAATTGGTAATT